GTCTGTCACGAACAGGGGGATGACAACCTTCAGGCGCATTGCTGAAATGTATCCTTCCTCAGTCTCGCAAATCTCTCCCCGCTTCTTCCCTTCCTGCTCTGATGCCCAGGTAGGTTTTCAAAACTCACAGAACGTGATTGTTGCTTTTTCTGGTCACTTTGATGCTGAACGGCTGCTTGGAGACCTCCGCTTCATAGGTCAAAGGAGAAGCAGCATTTCCTCTGAAGGGTTGGACATGTTCGTGGGGCACTTCATACCTGTCCTTGTTCTGGTCAGTTAACTGTCCAGGGAGATGAAGTAAAAGCAAGCTGAAATGGGAACCTCTTTGTTTTTCCAAAAGAGAAGCATCCCTGCCAACACCAGTGCCGCCCGATATCTGTGCCCAGGGTGCTGGACTCGGGCACTGATCCGAACGGCATGACGTCTCAGGTACGTGTACTCACTACGTTCCCAAATGCAGGCGTTGAACGCTTGGGCGTAAGTTAGTCTTTAGGGAGAAATATACACTCCAAGTCTGCAGAGATGGACTATCTCTAGAATTTTCAAAGCAGTGATCATTCTTTTTCCCCGCTCCCTACCACACTCCATGTGGTATTAAGGGCAAATAAATGAAAGCCAGAGCTCACTGTCGAACCCAACAATATATATTTAGGAAGTTACCGCACTGGAGGAAGGCTATAGTCTTCAAATATAGGTGCTCGGTAAAAAACAAACAAACAAACAAACAAATGGCAATAGGGAAAAATATCTCCATTAGCAAAATTTTTGATTTTGCAGCATCTGCAGTCATCGGGTGGGGCCCAAGAACTTCCCCAAAAAGATTTTTTAAAAAAATAAATGGCAACCTTGAAGTGGAAGCGATTAGCTGTCTGGTATTCCGCTGTGAGAAGGACGTTGTCAATGTCATTCCCAAACAGGGACGGAGAAGGCGACCTTTTCAGCCGGGCTGTGAACCCTGATGCGGAGAGAGAAACAGGCTTACACAGCGGGCTGTGTAACTCTGTGAACAACGGCCGCATGATAATTGAGCTTTATGACAAAGGGGCTGGCAGAAAGCCTGGTTCCCCCAAAGAAGGGAAGAGAGCGACACACACCCCACCGTGCTCGCATGCTATCTTGGGCCAGAATCTAAAGCTGAGCGCAGTCATTACTTATCCAAACACCACGCCTCTCGTCCACACAGTCTGACCGGAAACCGCCCCAAGAGGCCTAACTCTCATCCCATCAGTCATTCTGTGTTAATTCCACACCCCGTACACTCTCAGCCCTCGGGCTGTGCATGTACATTCTTCCTTCTTGGTTATTTTCATGTTCCATTACAGGCGATCATAAACATCGATGCCATCTCCCCAGTTAGGTAAGCGAGGTGAGACTGGAGACCTTGGAAAAGCCCATCAGGCCTCTGGAGGGAGAGGATGCCTCCTCCTTTATGCTGAGAGCCTCCCCCAAACAGTCACTTTCTGTTATCCCCTGGATGTTCATTTTCATGCTCTACATTTTAGGGCGGGAGGAAGAAGAGGGATGTTTAGTCCATGTGCCCTGACGCCGACTGGCTAACTTTCATAAAATGTTTATATAATTGGATTTGCTTCCCTATGATTAAAATCACATTATATTAGAGTTGTAAGTAGCCTGAGAGGTTACTGAGTTCAAATCCCTCTCTTTAAAAGTTAAAAAGTTGGGGACCCAAGAAATCATGTTTGCGAACGTTACAAAGGTACGTAAAGGTTGAGCCAGGGATCGAAGGTGTCTCTGAACTCCCCAGACAGAGTGATTTCTCTCCCTTGATGCCAACACAGATTCTCATTTTTGCTTAAGAGCAGTGGCCGTCTTCTGTCACTAGCAGTACCCTGGCTGTGCAGAGCCAACTCCGCATGCCCCTAAGGCTCTCCCCTGCAGCAAACAGAGGGTCCGGAGGTCCCGCCACACAGTCTGGCCTACCTGTGCCTGTGCTCGCAAGGTCGCCCTCCACTTGATAGCCATGACTCTTAGAATAGTAGCACCAGGGCACACGCATGGTTCCCTGGGGTCTCCAGCAGCAGCCTCGCTGGTCACACGTGGCCTGAAATGAGAGATCAGCCAAAGTAACTCCTTTCACTTGTAGGACACTATCATTTATAAGTAAAACTTGAGGTTGTGGTACCGTTAAACACATCTGACAAATAAGAGAACTGATACAAATAAGAGAAATTGGGCTATGTCCCGGTCACTGCAGAGCTTGTACACAAAACCGATTTATGGCCAATGTCCTTCCTTGTTACTATATTATCACATGACAATATAGAAATCATAATACAGTCCATATCTGTCGTCACAAAAAACTGATAAATTTATTTAAATATTCTAAACTACAATATAGTTATAGCACCAGTAACTCAAATTCCAAATGGAGCTTCATTTTTATTGGTAAACTTGAAAATGTGTACTCGAATTCACACATATACAAATATGTGTGTACAAATATGTACGAGAATGGTCAAATGGTAGTGTTGAATTGCAAGATATGAGAAAAAAACTAAATTTCTATTAACCAAAGAAAGGAAGATATTGATATACCATTTTATAGTGAACCTAAATGAACTAGAGATGCATATCGACACAGATAAATCGCACAATGTTAAGTGAAAAAAAAAATGGAGTCACTCACATGCCATTTTAAAGAGTCACATAGAAATGCTTGTCTTGCTCAGGGTAGGTATTAGGAAGCGTAAGGGTTGCAAAGGGACGCTGAGAGATAGAGAATGGAGCAGGATGCCGCAGCACAGGGTTCAAGGAGACAGACAGTGTGGCCAGCGGGGCCAAACGAGTGAGGCTCAGTGTGGACTAGAATGCAGCCTGTCCCCATTCCCCCAGGGGCAGGTGATGGCTAATGCTCCCTCCTCAGTGCACCTGTCTTGGACAACAGAATGAAGTCTTTGAACCTGACCCATACAGTAATGGATGCAGTAGGTACTCGAGTTAAGTAGAACTATAGTCAAAGTAAGAAATTCAAGAGAGCAGTTTCAGTCACGCACACATTGAAAGAAAAACGGGGGAAATGGAATTCAGAAGAGGGTCTAGGAGGCTGGAGTGAGCCAGGCATGAGGTGTTGATGGCCTAGGGAGACAGCAGTGAGAGTGGGAAACGTGTCTGCTCTGGAAAACATCGTTAAGGAAAATGTTTTAAAATACACGAAATACTGGCCAAAGGGACTGAAGGGGAGAGAACCGGGCAAAATTTCTGCTGTTTCTGCTTCAGCGACCAGAGGCACAATGGGACCACTAACTGAATCTGGTAGTTGGGACGGAAAGATTAGGCGAGGAGGCAATGAGCCCAGCAGACCTTAGGATTTAGCAAAAGGTCTTGCGACGAAACACCAAAGACACATTGCTGAGGCGGGAATGACATCCGAGTTTACAGTAGCCAGCAGCAGGGCGCCGTGGTGCACTAGAGTGACAGACAGGGGGACCCATCAGTCCTCTGGGTGGGCTTCTGAGCTACTACTTTCTGAGCATGCTATGACCAGGCAGAAAATGGGTGTGGACCAGCTCCCCGCAAACCTGGTGTGCCCCACGTCCTGCGTAGCCCACAGCTTCCCAATCCTACCATAGAGCTCGGATCCACGCTAGCCTTGGTCGTGATCCTCCCTGTAGTCACGCGAGACCGTGCAGTACGCCACGCACGTACGCCACGCACGCACGCCACGCACGCACGCCACGCACATGCCCCGCGATGTCCTCTTCTGACGTTTAGCCGACATTGCTGCTTCTGCCTAAAAATCACTTTCTATTCCTCCATCTCTGTCAAAATCCTACTTATCTTTATTCCCAAGCTGTCACCTTCTCCTTGATAACAATCTCTTCTATTTTGTGATCTCCATAGTGTTTCTTTTATATCTTAGGCATTTTTGCTTTATATCCTAGCTAATTGCTTACTTAGCTTATCTTCTCTACTAAAATCTATAACAAGAAAAGTATTTAGTTTAATCGAACCTATCATCCAAAATACTAAACTTTGTGGCATTTGGCCCCATACTGAAGTGCCTTTATTTTTTCCCTTATATCTTCTTTTTCCTTTATTTCTAAGTCTTTTTTAAATCCATAAATATTTTTATTAAGTTTATAGGGGTGACATTGAGTAATAAAATTATACAGGTTTCAAGTGTACAGTTCAATAATATGTCATCTGTATATTGCATTGTGTGTTCAGTTCCCAGACTTAAATTCTCTTTTGTCACCGTATATCCCTTTTGTCACCGTATATTCTCTTTTGACCCCCTCTACCTCATCTACATCCCCCCTATTCCTAAGTCTTCTATTCTTTCTTTTCTTTGTCCCCCATTACGTGATTCCACTCAGCTTTAAATGGCTGCTCCTAGCTGCTGTGTCAAAAACCAACCTCCTTTACCTGGCTTCTGAGGTCTCCCAAAATCTAAACCCACCTTTTCTGTTCAGCCTTTTCTTCCTACCCCAAGCAGGTGAGTCTCTTCACTAATCCAAGAGAAGGTCATGTTCATTTCAGCCAGGGCAAGAGGCCAGATGAAGGGGAATGAACACAATAGTCCTGGTAAACTAAATTGGTCTAACTGGTATTACTTCCTACCTTAGCAGGCTTGCTGTCCAGGCTGCTACCCTTCCGTGCCCTAACAGCTGGACTGGGCACTGCTTTGTACTGTTCTGGGGATCCCTGATCAGACTGGATCTCTCTCTTGCCTTCAACACAACCTGTGGACCTCCTGACTAGTTTTAGCCCATCTCTCCACTCCGATCTGCAATTCATAGACATTTTCTCCACTGCAAGCTACTTCTGTGGCTCTGGCTCCCTTTTTGGCCTCAACTTCCAGCTCCCCCACTAGCCCAGGCCATCTCATCCTATAGCTCATCTCTCTTCACTGCCTTAGTTCTCTCTGACTCAGCGTCTATGCCATTTCGGTCAATACCAAAGGCTCGAGTTGTAACAATTTCTACTTTCCACTGTTCCCATCTCTGGACTTTGTCCACGTTGTGGGCTGAATCGTGTCCCCAGGAAAGATAGGTTGAAGTCCTAATCCTTAGTAGCTCAGAATGTGATCTCATTTGGAAACAGGATTGTTGCAGATATAATTAGTCGAGAGGAGATCATACTGGGGTAGGGTGGGCCCTAAATGCAATATGACCAGGGTCCTTATAAACATGGGAAATTTGGACACACACACACACACACATGCACACACACAACACAAGAGGAATGCCATGTGAAGATGGAAGCAGAGATTGGAGTGATGCAGCTAAAAGCCAAAAAATGACAGGAATTGATATTCGTTACCAGAAGCTAGGAGAGAGGCATGAAACAGATTTTTCCTCAGACCCCTCAAAAGGAACCAGCCTGGCCAACATCTTGATTTTGGACTTCTAGCCTCTAGAAGTGTGAGAGGAGAAAATAGAAAAGAAAAAAAAATGTCTTTTGGCATTAGGACCTACAGACAAACCAAAACAGCAACTCTTAAGCACATCCCAGGTTATTCCAGCCTATTAGCAATAGGATGGCTACAGAGAAAAATGTGAGAGTGCCACATGCCCGAGCATCCCCTGTGTCAGATGCAAATCTGCCACATCATGTCAGTGTACTGTACTCAGAAGGCTGCATTTTGTTTTCATTCATTCTCAATGTGCGAAGTGACCGATATGGTTGGTGCAATGTATTTTATAATCATAATATTCAGCCGCCCTAAAGGAAATACCCAGATGCCTGCATTATCTTTAATCTGGTATTTATTACCTTCTTCATTTAAAGCATGGCTCTTGAAATCTTGTCCTGATTTTAAATGATGTTTTATGTGTGTGTATGACTTTTTTATTATAGATCCTAGATAACTTTTTAGAATCGTGAAAGGAGAGAGACAGAGAGGGCAAGAAACGGAGGTAATAACAGAGTCAGAGAAAACTAGTAACTAATAGTGTTGCCAGATAAAAGACAAATCTGTTTTTGTTTAAATTCCAAATCTTGCATGGGACATACTTACACTAAAAACTTATTCACTGTTTATCTGAAATTCAAATTTAACTGAGCAGTCTGCGCTTTTAATTGCTGAATCTGTCAACCCAAAATAGTCTCTCAAAGCTGTACTGTCATATGAGCTTGAGTACAGAATTAATTTGCCTAAGCCACCAATAGCTGCAATACAAAAAACCCTCTGGGAGTTACAAACAAAACAAACGAACAAACAATCTATGCAACAGCATAAACTCTTAAATGAAAACAAGATCCATAATGCAAACCTTTGTGGGTGACTGGTCAGGGATGCAGTTTATCCTCTCCAATTCATTTACCACAGGGCATGTGGCAGAATCGGGAGTGGTACTTGGCGTAGCTGTTGTTGTCCCAGGACCTGGGATGATCCAAAAAGCAAACATAAAATGACTATCAGACAGATTTAACATCATGGGACATTCAATATCTCCATAGTCTCAATACCTCTGACTATACAGACTCCACTGCTGACTGGGCTTCACTCTGATGCCCTGGAAATGTGTGCACTCACTTCACAAAAAAAAACTGGATTTACCTCTGCGAATCTACCTTCTCTAAAGCATGGCCTGTGGGCCAAATCAGGTCACAGCCTGGTTTTTAAATAAAGTATTGCTGGAACGCAACCACGCCCTGTTGTTTTTTTGTTTGTTTTTAATGTATTGTCTAAAACAGCTTTTGTGCTACAATGGCAGAATTAAATAGTTAGGACAGAGATTGTATGGCCCACAAAGGCTAAAGGGTTAAGTGTCTGTCCTTTACGGCAAAGTCCGCAGACTCTGCTCTGGTCCTTCACTTCTGCCCCCCGCAGCTGGCTCACAATAGGTTTGCACATAGAACACGTGCGGTGCATGTTGTTGTCTTAAAGTTTCCTCTCTGATCATAGCAACCTCAGTCCTGCTTGCTCAGTCAACAGATTGTCCCTCAATCGGGAACACTTCTGAGTAATGACATTCTTATGTAAAGCTTCATATCCCCCAAAAAAAGAAACGTAAAGGGAGCCCGCTCTCAAAACTAATAATAATAAATGGAGCCACTTTAAAATGAAGCTGGGGCTGCCATGCCGGGGCTTGGGGTTGGGGGTGGCTGACTAGCATCCCTTATGTCTCAAATATTTGGGATGTTAAAACAAGACAAAATAACCTTTGGCCTGTGTCTAAAGAAATAGGCTTCCACCCCCCCACACACACACACACACAAAATGTCTACAATAATAGCAAGAAAGCAGTTGCTATGACTACTTCATGACTATTGGACTGAAAATTAAAAACTGTTTAAAATTAACATCACTATGTCTCATAAATGCCCATTGCCTATTGTTCCTAATCAGAACAATACTGGGCATCTGCCTGAATCAATGATTCCAGAATAGCTATTATCGATATCAAATAAATGCTTTTTGCTTCTCTTTTTGAAAGGCCTTTTCATTTTTAGCTTAATAGCGCCAATCTAGACACTGGCAGCTAGAATCCACCCAAGGGCTTGGATTCAGATTTAAAAATCAGTAAAATTAAAGAGACCCATTTAGTACAGTCTAATATAAGGAAGTAAGATTTCTTCAAGGCACTCTGCGATAAATCAGTAACGACACTAAGACTTCAGGCTTTTAATTAGTTTTTTTTTTCGTTAGGGTTTCCACTTCAAAAGTGGTGGGTTAAAAGATCTACATATTTGTGCCAGTTTCTGCACAAGGATTTTACTTCTATCTTCAGAAAGATAATATTTCATGAGTTGAACCCACTTTGAGGTTATTTAACATCCCACAACCGTAAAAACTCCTAGAGCTGGGAATGAGGGCAGGAAGGTAAAGGATTCGTCCAGCACAGACGGATCCATCGTCTGGGACAATAACTCAGCACAACCCGGCCCCTCTTTTAGAATAGAACAGTTCAGTAAACTTGTAATAAAATAACTCTGGTAGTTGTTACATTTTTAAAGAACCAAAATTTGGCCTAAAATACTTTAATCGCTCATATGCTTATTTGACCGCCATTCATAAAAGGGTAGTGTTCATTATTATTGTTAATGAAACAAAATAGCCCACAAAATTCAGCAAATACGTTTTGTGTCAGCTGCGGAATCCTGCGCTGGGTAGCTGGGAAATGAAAATGTCAAAAACTTAAGCCCCCAGTGAAAGTCTGCTGAGCTGCTGGTTTTAGTTAGGTGCTCCCAACGCACATGTAACCTACATGCACGCACGCACACGTGCACACTCACAGCATAGAACGTGAAGCGTCACTTCCCTGCCATTCATGAGGTTTTTGCTCTGATAAGAGTAACTGAGCAATGTATGGAGGGAGCACACCAGAGTCCCTGTTACCTTGTGACTCCGAAGAATCTCTAGCTGAAAGCACAAGGAGCGGAATAGTGATGAGAAACACGAGAAGCAGAAGAACACTGAGCATGAGCTCCAAAGAAGTAAAATCTTTCAACTTCTTTCTTGCCATCTGTAAAAAGAGAAAAGAATAACTTAGGTTTGAAAACAATTTTAAGTTTTCTATGTTTATTTAATATATAGCTAGTAAGTGTTTTTAATGGAAAAGCTCAAACGTATAGCTAAGTGGAATGAATAACATAACAAACTCCAGGTACCCATCATCTAGAGTAAAAACTTATCAACCCATGGCTAGTTTCATCTTATCTTTATTCCTACTCACCTCTTTTCCTAACCTTGCATTATTTTGCAGCAAATCTCAGATTTCATATCTTTTAATCTTTAAATGTTGAAGTATATTTTGTTTAAAAATAAGAACTTTCACAAAAGACAAGCAAAATCATATCATCACACCTAAAGTACGATTCCTTACTCATCAAATATCAAGTCATTGTTGAAATTTCCATCGTCTGACAAAGTTTTAGGGTTTGCTTGTTCTATTCCCCTAAGGATGCAAATAAGATTTATTATAATTGGCTTGTGTCTAAATCTTTTTAAATCAATAAGGTTTGGTCTATAGATTTCCTCAGATTTTGTATTTTATCGATTGCATCCCCGTGCATGCTAACGTTGTTTCTCTACCCTTGTATTTCCCATAAATTATTAGATCTAGAGTTTTGACAAGATACAGTTTTATTCTTTTAGCAAGAATGGTGCATAGAAAGTATAGTGTCTTCCAGTAGGAAACACGTAAAATCCAACAGATTCTCCTCTTTTTCATGTTGGCGGCTACTGGTGAGCATTTCTTAGGTCCATTATTTCATTAGGAATTGTGACATGGTGATGCTATAATTCTACAATTCTTTATTTACTGGATGAAATATTCCTATAGAGAGAAAATCTCCTCATCTAATATTTGTTTCACAAAGGCACAGCTCATACAGGAAAAGCAGGGTAAATGTTTGACTCTTTATTGAACGGTTTTCAAAACGAGGAGTTGTTCCTTAGCATCCTCCAAAGGGAACCAGTGAGATTTTTTTGTCCAAGATCTTTGTGAACTCATAGATTTAAACACAGGTTATCTGTATTAATCCTTTGATATTATTATTAATCCTTTGATGTGGTTATCATCATCATCACCATCATCATCATCACCATCATCATCATCATTATCATCATCGTCGTCGTCGTCATCATCATCATTATCATCATCAATGCTAGTGTTGTCTCATCGTTAGCCAGTGGGAAACTCTTCAAGCGGGTCTCCGGTAGCCTCTGGTAGTTCCCGCTTTCTGCTTTAATACGGTAACCTAGGCTTACCTGGTCTATTTCCAAACTGAACATCTTTGAAGATGTTCTTTTTAGTGGGGGAGGATTTAGAAACCATAACTTAAATGAACGCCAGTGAAATTTAACCTAGAATTCTAGAATTGAAGGGACCTTGTGGATCATCTTGACCAGTGGCTACTTTTGGATTCCTTGAGGAATCCACTTTCAAAAACATACAGAAATCACACAGGTACCTTTGTTAGACTTGTTACGAATCCTAGCCGTGGATTAGACAACTTCGTTGAGAAGTTAATATCAGATATTCAGCATCTACCCTCCTCCCACCCCGCCCCAACCTACTTAATCAGAATCTCTAGGGTTAAAGTCTGGATATCTGGCGTTTTGTTAAAGCTCCGCAGATGATTCTGATATGCAACCGTGTTTCAGAAACAGTGACCCTCTATAGCTTTACAAGTTGGAATAAACATGTTTTATTAGGCACAAATATTAAGACATGGTGTCCATAGAGTTAAAAATAAAAGTGGAACCAATGGTTAGTCTAGCCTTTTCATTTTATAGAAAAGTCAAGTTAGATACACTAGCTGACATGCCTTGCTCAAAGTTCATACAGCATTAGGGACTAGAGCCAAAACTGTCCAACTAGGTGAGCGTGGTTTTGTTCGGCCACTACATCTATCCTGGCCATAACTATTTTGGTGGGCACTTTAGGAATGAAATACTCTGGAGACTACTGTGACCTCAGTCTTCAGTAACTTGCCTAAACCTCTTCCTGTTAACCTTCTTCTAACCTGCTCATGTTCTCTCAACAAGTTGTTTCTACCCTTACCTGCTCTGTCAGATTTGACTTAAGGTGTCGCCATCCTGACTATGAAGAACTTGAAATATATCGACTGACCACTATGAGCTGCCTTGGAATTAAAGATCCTCCTCCTGGATATGTCGACCTCCTACCACAGAACTTTCCATATGGGTGGCCTTCTCCCTCCATCGATCCTGATGGAGCATCTCGCAATTCCCACTGCGGGGCTTAGAACACATGAAGCTCATCTGGTTGGGATGCTCCATCCAAAGCTCAGGATGAGTCAGTGGGACTCATCGTTTCTCACTGCGCTCATACCGTAATGCAGAAATGTGCTACTCAGCAGTAAGAAGCAAACAGCTCATCACAATCAGTGTGTAGATCGGAATGCAAGCAGCCATTTCTCTGAGTGCCATATAAGATCTTCTGCAGAAGTTCACAAATCCACTGTCATGTTGGGTGGTGTGATGAAACTATTTCTAAAAGGGGTTTCACTGACCTAACTGGTTTCATGTATCCTATGTTATAGGGGATTGTACGTTAATAGTCTCTAGAGTCAGACATAATGCAAAGCATCCATTAGCGACAGTTCTCAACCCTGTCAAAGCACCCCTCCCCACACTTCCGGTATATCAATGCACCCTCTCCACCCCCAGCTCATTCGTGATCAAGAATAAAGTTTCCTAAGGCTTATTCCCCAAAGACGTGTCTACTTGATTAGATTTACAACATCCTTCTGCTCCCTCAAATTGTGAGCTGCTGGGGTATAAGAATTATGTCTGTTTCTTCCTCTTTATTTCCTTCCTAAGGACCTACTAGCAGCATCTGCCTAATCAATACTTATTGACCGATAATATTTTACACCATGATTAAATATTTACAAAATACCTGCATACTTCCTAATTATAGTACACCATGAAAGTATTTGAGAGGATTAAATGATGGTATCTGCCTCAAGTGAGCTTCAAGTCCAATACTGTTATTTTCTTCTACACAATAAAAGTGATGTATGATAGAAAGAGTACTCCTTCTTAAGAATCAGAAGACCTGAATTTTATTCTGAAAGTAACCAGCCAGATGACCTTGGGAAATTTACTTAAGCTTTCTGGTTCTCAGTTTCCTTCTTTACAAATTAAGGGTTGAACTAGATCTACAGAATTCAAAGTAGCTTTTAATATGTCATTTTTAAGTGAATCACACAAAGTGCTTGCTTCTCTCCTCCTCCATTCCACAAAACATACCTATGCTAAACATGTCATTACTATGTTCCTTCTTTGTCATATTCTCAAGTTCTCCTCCCGGAACACAGAGCATGCTAAATATCGCATGAGAAGACTTGGGCTTGATCCTTAGCCCTCTCCTATCTTGTTGCAGGAGCCAAAAGAATTTCCCTAATACGCTAGAGTTTCATTTTTCTTATCTGTGAAAAATGAACTAATAATATCTGTTGTTACTAATACCTATTGTTGTCTTCTTATTGTGAGAACCAAATTAAAACACGTCTAACAATAAAGCATTATATATCGCTATGCTATTATTTACTACAGAAGAGATAGCGGGTGCTGAGTAAGAAACAGCATGTTCCTAACAGACACGTCAACCCCACTGCACTCAAGGGGCAGATGCACACCCCCGACTGCTGTCCTTGCGAACCTGTTCCGATCCAACCTCTGCTATGCTAAGTGCTTTACGCCTCCATGTGTCACATGACACATGTTCCCTGAGACACAGGTGCAGGAAGCTAGGAAGAAACAGGAGCCACCACGAGCAGCCGTCTTACCCATTCGAGGTCCATTTTCACCACCAACCCATCCACTAATGCTCTCCCAGGCTGCCTTGTAAATCATGTTATCTTTACTCGGAAAGCACATCCTCTCCCTTCTTCTTTCTTCCCTCCGGCCTGAATTCTAAACTCCTTACCTTGGGAATCTTAGGTCCTCGGCTCAAACTTATTGTTTGATATTTCCAGACAACCTCATTCTCCACCCAATCGGTGTGTCTTCACATCGCCTGCACACTCTCTGCAGCCTTCCTTCATCCTTTGCCCAAGACTTGAATGACAAGAGGATTTGTTTCTCCTACGCTGCGTGAGAAACTGCTGCTTGGCAATGTAATGAATGCCCTCCTACTATGCAAAAGGAAATGGGGCTGTACCTTTCTCCACAACAAAGATGGCTTTGTTTTTTCTAAATTAAATTACTCAATGCTAATCCTTACCCGCTTTGTCCCCAATATCTTACATTCTCAAAGACGTTATATCTCAATACTAATCTTGCATGTAAAATTCCATAAAGATCAATAATCAATCATCTTCTGTGTCTGATATAATGAAATCAACTGATGAGGTAAAGAGTGATCTCATGGCCATTGGCAAGGAGAGGCAACATCAGGGAACCTACACAAGTGACCGTGTCTTCTCTTTTGTGGTTGCTAATGCTTGTGAGATAGGAGGTTGTATATCTAGAATTTTTTCAAATGTGTATTAACACGTTGTGTTAAATACTTTGAAGAAAAAGCCATCCACACATTGCTAGTCAGACAGTAAACACCATATGCTCAGTGAAGATTTGGCAAAAACTATTAACATTACTTACTTCCACAATTTACAGAATTCTAGCCCATAAATATATTTGCACATGTGGGAAGTGATGTATGTACAGATGAAGGTGTTTCCTGGTAGCATGACATGTAACACATGTAACAGCAAAAGATTAAGAATAATGTGAATATCCATAGAGAGGGGACTGAGTAACATGTGCAATAAAATAAAACTCAATATTATCCAAAATCATGATAACGGTGGTTTAAAAACACAACTTCCGCAAAGCGTTTGATACTCCTGCCTCCCAGAGGTGGAACCAAGCCCCCCCATTTCTCACTCCTGGAGAGTGGGCTGGACTTAATGACTCACTTCTAACAAACAGAAGATGGCAGGGGGGATGCGTGTGACTCCCAAGACGAGGTTATAAAAGGCCTTCCAGCTTCTTCCTTCCTCCTTCTCTAATACCACTTCTTTGCTCCTTTTCTTGGATCGTTTCTTGGAGAAGCCAGCTGCCATGTTATAATGACACTCAAGCAGGCCTATAGAAAGGGCCAGGAAACTGAGGCCTTTGGCCAACAGCCACGTGAGTGAGGCATCTCAGAGGCACATCTGTCAGCACCAGTCAAGTCTTCACTGCAGCCCAGGCAACATTGTGGCTGCAACCTCCTAAGAGACCGTGAGCCAGAATCACCTAGCTAAGTTGCTCTCATATCCATAACCCATAGAACTGTGAGATAATAATAAATATCTGTTTCAAGTTGTTAAATTTGGGGGTAATTTGTTATGCAGCAATAGATAACTAATACACATGGGTAATTTTGAATACTATATCATTTGCATTTAAAAAGTATCTGGCTATTATGGAAAGTCCTTTTGCATCAGATATATAAATATGATTACCTGCTCTATAGAACAATAATAATCATTTTCTTGCTATGGAAGAGAAACCTTTCCTTAAGCCTTAAGGAAAAAAAAAAAAAAAAGCCCTCATCAGCATCTTCTGATTTACTTTCCTTCTGGAATTACAGGGAAAGCTACAATCTCAATTAGGAATGCAATTTAGGAAAAATCAAGATCAAGGAAAGTGGCGAAAGGCAAATAGAAGAGGAAGTAATTTAAATAGCTTTAATTGTTTTTTTTTTTTAAATGTTTTAAAAAACTGCTACTTGGCAGTCTGTCATCAATCTTTGAATTTTCTGTTTCATGTGACAAACACAAATTATGCAATTTTAATGATCAGGATAAAAATAGCCAATGACGATTGAGTGATTGTGCTAAGAGGTTATGCAATCTGCTGGACTTAACCCTCAAAACAACCCCTAGTTATGCTATAGCCTCGCTTTCAGATAAGGAAATGAATCTTCAGCAAGGTCAAGTAACGTGTCTGATGTCACGTGGCTGATAAGGAGCAAAGCCATAATCTGAACACCTGCCCTTGGACTCCACAGACAGAACTTCTAACCATTATTCTATGTTCTGTGCCATAATGCCCCATATGGTACACCAGTTTAGGCTTTTTGTGAGATGGGTTTTAACATAATATGTCTGGGTCATTAATCAGGTACTTATAAGGTGCATGATACTAAGCTGAGCAATTACATGCATTATTTCATTTAGCCCACACAACCACCTTACAGGTAGGAACTGCTCTTACTCCCAGTTTACAAATAAATGAACTGAGCCTGTGAGAGGTTGATTGACTAGGTCCAGATATCAGAGCCAGGCTTCAAACCAGGCAATCTGACTCCAAAGCCAGCTTCTACGATGGGATACAAATGCAGAAAACTTATATATTCATGAATCACTGAAGTTCCAATTAAGAGGAGGTAGGATATACGGGAGATGGCTGTGTCCTTTCGAAGACAGCAATGGAGTTACAAGGTTTACAGAAAGAAAACAAAACTCCTGCACTATTTCAATCTCCATCACACCTGAGGGATTTAAAAGTAGGTTTGTAAGCATCCACAGTAGTCAATTCGCTTTCAGCTTATGGTCCACATAAGACCAAGGAGAACGAGCCGCTGATGCAATACATTTCCATGTTTATTAATCAAGTTATCAGTGCTATGTCTTTGAAGGAATAAGAGATCTGATTGCAGTTTATTTATTCACTCATCAATTATTTATTAGGCTCCTACAATGAGCCAAGCATTCTTCCAGAACCTGGTTATACTACAAAGAAAACATAAAAATTCTTGCCCTCATGGGACTTTTTTTCTCATAGGTAGAAAAAAGAGACAATAAACACATATATAATAGGTTAGACTTTGATGAGTGCTATGAAGATAAATAAAGTGAGAGAGAGGAGGAGGAAGGTTGCAGTTTTTAATTAGGCTGGTCAGGGAAAAATCTCACCAAAAAGGTATAAATTCTTACTATATATAAATTGTGCAGACTCCAACAGTGATTTTTTCCTCTTGAATTAAAAAGTTATAAAATAATTGCCAAGATTCATTTTCCTGGTACTGATCTATTTTGGCAAAATAGAGAGATAAACCAGATGGGAGCTGAAATTCTTTAAACGGCCGTCTAGATTCATTTGGAAAAACTGGATAATCAACTCATCTTGCCTTTTCTGAATGACAGCCAGTGTCTGATTTGCGTATGGCAAGCTAAACCTTTCTATTAAAAATTCTTTGATAACACAAGGCAAGAAGAGATTTAGTGGAAAAGAGAGGGTTAGTGTTAGAGATCTAGAAAAATCTGCAAAGAGGACCCCAACTGGGTTGGTCCATTGTCTCCCAGCTACTTAGAGAATAGGAAGGAAAAAAGTAGCTAATGGCCTTTTTTTGTGCAAGTCTGGTCACATCCAAAGTGCTGAGATCTAAAAGCCAGCTCTGATCTTGCTCAGCTGTGTGACCTTGGAAAAAACTGCTTAAGCCCTCCGGCCTCAGTTTCTCCATCTGAACCACAAAGAGAATCGTCTCTAGAGGAAGCTGTGACCTACTGTGACCCCGGTACCAGGATGTGCAAAGGCTTATCTTCCTCATCACATTCAGCAGCTACCTAAAAATAATGAAAAATTCATTCTTCTCACAAGTCCACATACTTGTTAATATCCTGTGCTTATGGAACAGTTTGTAAAGTAACTTTATTAGCTCATCGAAACTCATGTGTGAGTGAATGCAAATTAAAAAAAAAAACAAAAACATTGGCATTTGTGTGTGAGTGGAACAATGATGAGCTTATCTTAAAAGTGGAGTATGGGACAGAACGTCCTCCCCCTTCATTCAGTCCCTGACCACACGTGTCCCGACTCAGCACAACAAACCGAAGGCCCCCTCCCTTTCCTCTCCTCCCTGCCCACCACACTGACACTCACTGACACATGATACCAAAGCAATAGACAGGAGGTATCAGGAACTCACTGGCAGCCTATTCTAGTAAGGCCCATGGCATTGATCTTGGCCTCCCTCTCTCCTTAATTGTAACCCTTTCTTCCCACCTCAGTGGCCGGTCAGAAATACCTACGTGTGTCCAGCTAGGCTCTAACAACCAGTGAGGACCCAACGCTTTTTTCCTTTAAGTCTTACCAGCGAGGGACAGCGATCCACACCTTCCCCTGCACCCCCCAGGCACTGGCCCTCTATTTCACTCACAACTGCCAGACCAGACCCTGCCCCTTGCCCTTCACGCCCTCCTTCCAGACTCCACGTGAAACCTCTCACACTGCACTCTGCACACCAGCGTGTGCACATGTCACACCTGCTCTGGTAATTCTTTCTTTGATCAGTAAAGGCACAGAACTCACAGGAATAGTAACGGGCGTCTCAATTTTCTGACTATGATGGATTCTCTCATAACCTCTCCTCAATCACGACTCTGCATCTGTTTAGAAGGGAGGACCCCAAATGCTCTAATCTAACCCCCAAATTCTAACTCCTTTCCCTCATTTCCCATACTTCATCTCCAGAATCAGAAAGGATTTCTGCCAGCTAGCACACCCCGAATATTAAATCATCCATCATACCGCACACGGAGACACACACAAACACACAGGTTTAACTACAGTAGCGTTTACAGATCCGGCCTTGGTCCGGAGAAACACACACACGCACATCAAAACAAGAAAGAATTTTGTTTTATGTAGGTGCATTTGTATAATTCTGTGATTTGTTCATACTTATTTTTGTCTCTGTTTAACAAATTAACAAAGGCATTTTGACTAAAGGGGATCAACAGAAGTCCACACACACACACACACACACACACACACAACACACGAAGACACACACAAACACACAGGTTTAACTACAGTACGGTTTATAGATCCGGCCTTGGTCCGGAGAAACACACACATGCACATCAAAACAAGAAAGAATTTTGTTTTATGTGGGTACATTTGTATAATTCTATGATTTGTTGATACTTATTTTTGTCTCTGTTTAACGAATTAACAAAGGCATGTTGACTAAAGGGGATCAACACAAGTCCACACACACACACACACACACACACACACACACACACACACACACACCAGCCACAGTGAGCACACGGCTTACAAACATACCTCATCACCTCCCACCGCAGCTCCGCGGGCTCTGAAGGATGACCGGCAATAAAAGCGAAGAGCACAGTCCACAGAAAGCAACCTCGGCCCTGGTAACTGGTTACCACGTTCCCATTAATGAGTTGCAAATGCAAATGCCTTCCCCACTGTCTTTCTCAGGATCAGATTTGCTAGTTAATGAGTAATCGAGTTCTCCCCGGGGGAGGACATCCTTAATAGCTGGGAGCCCCCGCTGTGGCCGCTCTGACCTCCTCAAGCCCCTCTGGGCACTGACCGTTTTATTCCTCAGTGACAATACTCAGTGTGCCTGGTAAAAAAACAAGGACGGACTCAACGCTAGACAGGTGATAAAGAGCAGAAAATAAATGGCCCCAAGCGTCTCAAGAGGGCTTCCTCCCTGCGGCTACTAATCTCCTAGGGACCCGCTGACACTTAGTAGCACATTCTGCTGATTTGTGTTTGAAGGAAATGGTTTCGAAAGTGTTTCCAAATAGTTGTCTTCCTGTCTTGCCTCCAGAAGTGGTGTCTTGACGTTCTGTTGCGTGTGGAGACTGTCTGGCAGCCTGGTGTGGTCTGATGGGGAGGTCCTCCTATGGACATGCTCAGAATTATATTTTTAATTTCATGAGATAAAATATAAGGCTACAAAGGAAACCGATTCCCCTGAATTACGGTTACTAGAATATTTTTTTAAATTGCAATATAGTAATGCTTCTTCAATGATATAGTTCGCAAATCTAGCAGCAGATCTAATAGCTACTGCAATTTCAAAATAGCACAAATGATATCCCAAGATTATCTTCCAAGCATGACGTAAAAGTCACTGTGACCTCTCTTGGAATCAAAGTCTTTGGTGCTGCTAACACTTCCGTGGTTTGTGGCCCAACTTTATACTCAAGCGACATGCTAAATTTCAGGTGGATTTTAGTAACGATATTTTTCCTTCACAAGTTCACTTGTTCTTTTGGTTCTGTGCATGAATGAGAACTGTGCTCTACTGCTAGTCAGACCCTCTCCCCAAGTAGGGGGGCATCCTCGCCTCTGTGCCAGTCCAGGTAGGTGATCAACGCCATCACGAGCCCGTGCTTGCCAGTCTCCAAGGAAATAAGTACCCAAATTGAGGATTAATGTTTAGAAACTTTGAGTGCAACTTGACAGGTAAATCCTATGTATACTGATCCTAAATAACTTAAAAATGAACCTTGTATTTACATATATTTGATTTTTGATTTTTCCCAGTAACCTATTTTTATTTTAGATCTATAAAAGTCTTAGTCTGTATCGTATTGGAAACTAGAAGAAAAAAAAAAAACCTGTTCTTTACTACAGATAATTTAAAAAGTCTTCTCAACTACTGTTTTTCCCAGGTATTTGCTTTAATGGATCAGTGAAAATTCTGGAAAAACCAGGGCCAAGGGACTTAAATTTATTACCGATGTCTAGCACCTGGAAAAACTAAACAAGAGTCACCATCTATTGTCCTTGTCATTCATAGTGGACGCAGACTATTAAAACGGAATCAATTTATCTTTTTGAAAAGTTCACTTCCTTTCCTTATTTTTCTCATCACTGACCACCAGTGAAATGTCTCAGGAACCAGCAGAGCCTGCACACCAGGTATTGGGAACTACTCTGACCTACTGTGTTTCTCTGGCATCTTGAAATCAAAGAATTTAGAGCTAAAAGAGGAAGGAAAGGAAAACTAATGTGCCTGGAGGCCTGTCGGGCCCTGGACTTTTTGCCCACTTTACCTCACTGATGTTTACAATGGCTGAACAGCAGGAAGGCTCTCGAATGCTCGCCCACTCAGTATCAGAGCCCATGCGGGTTGGATCATTCTGTGCTACCCCTGAGGATCGCCACATGTAGCCCCTCATTTTTACAGACAAAGCTGGGACCCAGGAATTTTGTGAGGTTTGTGTGAGCGCGGCAAACAAAAAGTCTCGATCTGAAGTCCGGCAGGCCTGACGGCAAAGCCCAGCTCCACTTACCGGCTGGGGGAGCGTGGCCAAGCAAGCCTCAGTTAAAGTGTCTTTAACTGAAATGAAGATAAAAGTAGTATCTATCTAGTCAAATTGTAAAGATTAAACAACGTAATTCAACTAAAAGGCATGGGGTCACATAATAACTACTCTATAAGTGTCACTTACAATAATAATTATTATTATGTGTCTGCCATACCTGTGATTAGAACCCAGACCCCGGACTCCCAACCCAAGGCACTTTCAACTACACCAATATCTCCTGCTTTCCTAACTCAGAATTCTGCATGCGGCAGGTACTCGCTAGTGTTTAAAAAACTATTAAGCACCTACTTTGTGCAAGTCTATGCACTTCATACTGACACTTATGGAGCTGCCTGACTGTAGCAGTTTAAATGTTTGCAAAAAGGGAAGATCCAGGCCAGACCAAGGGACAAGGACTATGGTGCCTAGAGCAGCTTGCTGTTCAGGTGACACGGCCTTACCTGGGCCTGAGGTTGTCAGGAAAACATGTCTGTTTGGGAGCCACAGAGGCCGGACAAATGTGAGAATCAGCAATGTGATGACGAAACCTCCTCCCACCCCGTTCACCCCCCACGCCACCCTCCCCCACACCTCATGACCCCGTGTCTGGGTCGTATATTAGCTCAGGGGCCACCTTCCTGCTTCTAATTCTTGAAAACATAAGAATAACCACTTCCTAAACACAAGCCGACTCAACTTATAGTTCTTATATGTGGATTTTAAAGGCACTATCAGAATATCAGTAACGGCAACATTTCCGAAATGTTTGCTACAGTCTATGCATTATGTCAAATGATTCCCACTCATGATTTCATCTCCTCCTTATAACTACACTATGAGGTAGTGACTGGTCTTATTCCAGATGAGAAACCCGAGGTGCAAAGAGCAACCTGCCCAAGGTTATGTAATTAATAAGAGGTGAAGCCAGAATGCAAACCCAGGCCGTCTCGTTAAGCCTGAATTCAAACTTGGATGTGAGGGATACCTCGATAACCTCACAGCCAAGAGAAGAAGAAGTCAAATGGCTTGTATCGTAATACAGTAGAAAGCAGTACTGACAAATGCTATTGGAAAAAGAATACGCACCATTAGGAGGGACAGGAAAGAAACGAAAGGCATAGACAGATGGGAGTGAAAAGGGAAGGAGAGGAGGAAAGACATTGTGGGCTAAGGGATCGGCATGAGCAAAGCGCAGAGGCAAGGAAGAACAGGACCTGTTTCAGACACTGCAGCGAAAAGATACAGACAGGAAGACAGCTGGAAAAGTTTGCTGGAGCGGGGCGGTGGAGATTCTAGCCTATAAGCAAGAAGACGTCCATAAGCGACAGGACCCGCCGTAGATAAGAAAGTGCCCAGAGCCGCCATCAGCATGAAATAGAATTCTGAGCGTGCTCTCTCACACACACACATTACATCACAGCACACTGCTCACACTCACGGCACATGCCATCTCCGCCCCTCTTGCCACAAATCACGTTACACGGTCTCTGCAGAGCCTACACGCTCAAAATTGTACCTCTTTCTTTTTATTGCAGCCGAGTTGATTTTCCTCCTTTTGTTCCAAATAGAAGCCCTTCACATCAGAGGCTACCTGGACATGGAGAAATGGAGTTGTTTGAGGTAGGAGAAATCTCACGGCCCAGAAACGTCCAGAGGAAGGTGAGAGTAGAAGCGACTTATACTCTGATCGTTACCACATATCCTCCTCTTGCGAAATATCTATTATTCAGCAGCTTTACACACCTTCCGTCCCCTCCTGCCTCTCACCCCACAGACAGGAACATGTGGACCCACAGGTGTGAGTCTAAGGAGAGAGTTGTTAGAAGTAAGACATTACCCGGTATTCACGTTAGTAATAAAGCTTCACGCTGTAGAACACCTTGCACTTTTCAGAGCACGTTATTATCTCTTTACTCATAACAAGCCCATGTATCAGAGCAGATAATCTCCATGTATAAATGAGGAAATAGAAACTTAAAAAGAAAATGACTTGCTAAAGGTCACTCAAATAATAGCAGAGTCAAACTCATACTAATTTTAGTCTACTAACCCGATGTGCATAAAGTCTGAAGTCAGCAAATCCAGAATATTGCTCTTTCACACTAAATATCCGTTCATTCATTAAAAAAATGCAAAGTTCACTGTCTACCATGTCTCTCAAAGTGGAAACCCTCACGTCCTAACAGTGACCAAATACCGCCGTCCTTACTTCACGGGGGCCACTTCTCTTTAAGCCCAAGTCTTGCAGCAGAGAGCCCATCATTTCCTCTGCGGCTCCCCTCCCCCACACGCAGAGGACACCTGCCCATTCCCGTAAGGGAGCCCAGCACATCCCTACCCACTGGCCGTGGCCGACTGGACCAGCCCTGGACAACTGACCCAACCTGGTACGACTGGATTCTCCCTCCTAGAAATTAGGAGCTGAGACAAAAAGTCTGAATCATGCTGCTCTGGGCACTAAGTCTGTGGGGTCGTATCATGGTATTAAGAGGCAGAAATTCAAGAGTTTTACTGAAAATACTTGTTTTCCCAAAAGAGAACGGAATGGACATGCAGAAAAATTGTGAAAAGAGTGCCGTAGGAAATGTTTTAAGGGCACGGACAGTGTCTGACGGCCATGCCCAGGCTCTGTCTGTCATCACCACCCCCTCTCCGCTGGCTCAGCCGCCCCACCCTCCACCCTACGGCTCTGTTCCACTCTCTGGGAATCACTGTGTCTGCACTATCTCCCTGTCTCTGCTGGACAGAGAAGCTTGAGGTTCTAGTCCTGGGTGCACAAAGTCCTCTTATTTTTTTATGTTAGAGGAAAACTGAACAGGACTAGTTATCGACCAATGTCATACAACTCTATCAGCTTTTACTTTAAACGCCCTCTTCCTTAATTCATATTAGTAGGCAAAGTGAAGCTTAAGAAGGGGTCCAGAGCTCTCTCTAAAGGAATCTCTACCGCAGGTCCCTACTGCGGGAAGTGATCTTTCATATGCCCCTCATCACAAGGTTCCATGTTGGCACCAAAGCTGACCGGACTGGAGACGGGCACCTTACCCTAAGGCAGCCAAACCTTAAACTGGCCTGCATCGTACGAAGCAGCTTGCTGTGGACCATTAAATGACTCAGATGCTGTTTCTGAATGTAAGACACATCGACAGCAGTTAGTAACTGATGAATTATCAGGATCAATTAGT